GACTAACTAAACTCAAATACACCCCCGATACACTCCCGATATGCCACATGACATAACAAGTGGTCTCAAAACTCTTGTAGGAGCATGAAGTTCTTAATAAAAATCGACAGAAGTGTTGAAAACATTCTTAAATTTGACGAGTATTTAGAAATGTACCGTGTATTTAACTTCAATTAGTTAAGTAAAGGAGTATTTTTAAGACTGTCAATAGTTTGGGGATGAAACGAATAATTGGCGTCAAGTTTGAGTTGTTTTTTTTATACTTACTCTCTTTTATTTATAAAATTTTTAGATGATAATTTATTTAATTTTAGTACTTAAGGACCTTTTGGACAATTATTCTTAAATTATTTTTTAAAAAAAAGTTATAATTTAAAAAAATTGTAAGTTATTTTGAATTTTATTTATAAAGTTGAACAATGTCTTTTAACGTTGTTCAGAAAAATAGTCTTCTAAGAGCCCGTTTGAATCGGCTTAAAAAAGTAGCTTTTAAGTTAAAAAAAATCAAACTGAAACGACTTTTAAGTCAAAAAATAAAAAATAGGGGGAGACCTAATTTTGGTTTCCGACTTATTTTAAATTATATTTTATATTTGTCAAACACTTCCATAAGTCAAAAACTAACTTAAAAGTAGATTTGATCAACTTTTAAGCCAATTCAAACACCCACTAAGACTACTTATGCACATCTTTCAAAAATAGGGATAAAACTATAATGATAGCCTCAGAAATGAATGCTTGGTGTAAATCAGCCACTTGGGTATGGCATTGCGCTAGAGTGTAAAGGGATTCTTTTCTTCTTTATGGGTAAAAATAGGACAATATTTGATGCCTATGCATGGGTAGCTCAAGAGTAAGTATAGTTAAAAGTATTCGTTTTAGGCCTTAAAATTTTGAAATTTTAATTTCACCGAAACAAGATTGAACATTATTTAAAAAAATAATAAAGAAGAACTATCTACTTTAGTATCAAAAATAATTTAGAATTTTGAATAATATAACTCAAATCTTCATATTAATAAATAAAATTCTTATAACAATATCCAAAATAATGCATTTGTTTATAAATGGCTTACCTCTTATTAACTAAAATTAATCATTATTATTATAAATAATAAAATTTCTATGTAATTTAAATGCTTAATGTCTTTTAAAAATAAAAATTATATTATAATAAAAACAAATAGTATGTAAGAAGGAAAAAAAAGCCTAAATTAATAATATTTGTGCATATGTATATATTTGAGATTTCTTATAATAAATTTGACTTTAGGTTACTAATTTTATTGAAATGTTTTGCGACTTTGGCTTGTTGTTCAAAGAATGACAGGATATAATATTTTATTCTCTTCTTATTCAGAGAATAAATTGAATGGCTCGCATACAACATTTTTGGAATTTTCACTTACATATGAATCATTGATCAACCTTACTCTAAATTTACAATGTTAATACTATTTATAAGTATTCATTTTACACTTGAAATGATTTACATATAACATATATTAGATTTAAAAAAATAGAAGTATTTAATCAAAACTATGTAAAATAATAACTTTATAATATATATTTGTCAGTACAAAGTACGGATTTGGCCACTAGTATAATATATATATATATATTTGGTTGATACATATATTTCAACTTTTTGTTGCATGATATCCACTCAAAACATATTCACAGTCGGTTAGCATACAATTGCATTGTTGTTGTATCATACGACTTGTATATATTTTGTATATCGATGTTGAATATATTTTTCTTAGTTGGTATATATTATTGTATACACTTATTTATCTTCCTATTTGAATTTAAATTTGAAACTTACAATCAAAATCAACTTTAATCTTCATCAAACTTTTTCTAAATTGAGATGCAACTTTCCAAAGTTTTTTTTTTTTCGTCAACACTTCCAAAGATATTATCAATCTTTTATAACAATATTCAATTCAAACAACAACAATGGCGCGAAACAGATGAGAAACAATGGAAGAATTATAATAGTTTAATTAGATAATGATCATTCCACACACAAATGTGTGTATTTTCATTTAAAAAATGAAAAAGACTCGCCGAATCATATACAGTAAAATCTCACTAAATTAATGCTTGGTTAATTAATAATCTCTCTAAGATAATAATTTCATCCGATCCTGATTTGGACCAATGGAAAAATCACTCATTTCAATAAGATAATAAGATAATATATTTTCAGAAAACCTCTATGTAAATATACGGTCCCATTAATATTATAAATTAGTAATTCTTTAAAAGTACAAATATATCTAAGAAAATTTAGTAAACATGATTCCATTATGTTCTGTTTTTTTGTTAAAATTTAAATATAGTTGAAGTTCATCTCTAACTTTTCCTGTTGCATCCAAAAGTTTCGATTTTGTCTTTTCGAATTGCAACATAAAATTGTGAAGAGTTCTAGATGCAAGTGTTTCCTTACGTGTAATTGGTTCCAAAGGTATTATATCATCTTCAACTTTATCATTAACATTATTTTTCCAATGATATCTACAATTTGTTTTAAGCTCAGGACCTCTGAACATGTATCATTTTCAGTTTTTCACCCATCCAAAGGCAATAGGTTGTTAACGTCCATTTAAATGCGGTAATCGAGATCATTAATCATGATCCCAAGTTCCTGAATGACATTTTCACAAGTGAGTTCTTTCAAATTTTTTGAGATTTTATCCCTAAACAATTTTTCGGTTTCGAAACACTCTTTAAATTTAATAAATATTAATTTATCAATTGAATAATATCTCTATAAAATAAAGTAATATTTCATAGTTCCACTTATATTAATTTAGAGGAGGTTTTATTGTACAACCAGCTAAGAAATGACCTATTCAACTTATTACGAATCTAGCCACAATAGAAGACCCAATTGATATACTATCAAATTACACTTGGGACTCTGGTTGAAGGAAATGAGCATGTACACTAAAGATGCATATATATAGCGGAGAACTATCTCATTAGGATTATGCTATGAGTTATATTATTTTATATTTAATTAGCTATTTTATAATAGCAGTCTAGAGTCTCCCTTTTCTATTTTTCTTTTTATCTTTAATCAACTTGTAAGTTCTTTTAGGATCAATACAAACCTTACTTTGTTATGCAACTCTTTAAATTCAAAGAGATCATTGATAAATTGATTCAATTGGCACATAAATATAGCAAACGTTTAGTGTTCGTTAATGATCGACAAGTGTTGAAGCTTGATATAAGATTGATATGTTTCACATATACAAACAAATAAAAGAGAACAATACCAAATTCATAGAAAATGAGGGAGTCTGGAGCCTAAAGGGCAAAAAAAATTGTCAAAAATTCTAAAAGGGCACATCACTTTTTATTCTAGCCAAAATGGCAAAATCGCTGCGTCAGCAGCGATTTTCCTCTGACAAAATGACGAAATAGCAGTGATTTCGACTAAAAAAAAAAAAAAAAAAAATTTTATTAAAAATCGCTGCCATAGCAGCGATTTTGTTAAATTTTGTTTTTATTATTATTATTAAAAATCGCTGCCATTGTAAAAAAAA